TGCTACAGCTACGTGTAAGGGTGCACCGGCCTGCACACAGGCTAGGCTGTGACGTAAGTGTGCAGGGGTGGTGGTGCCGTACGTACAGCGGCTAACGATGAGTATTTGATCCCCTTGCGACTTTTCGAACAATTTCGTGGTTTCCATTGAAAAATGTCTGGAAACCTTGGGAATCTGTACAGTCTACCGTTACTTAGGAATCTTGAGTAACAACATTTATTACAGTACGATAGACAATTAAGCGATCGAATAGAAATAGAGAGCCTGTGGCAAAGTTTTCTCTAGCTAGAATGAAACGTTAGGATAATTTCGTTGATCTCTGTAATACGTAACGTCAATTATACGATCTGTAGAAATTTTTAATATTTCCAGACTGTTCGAACTGGTACAATTCGAGAAGGAAACGAGGAAAGGATCGTACAATAATGACAAACGATGTGAAAACGAAGAGGAGCGAAACTGGAAGTGAAAGGTGGCTTTTGGTTCATGGTGCTTCGATGGACTTTCGAGTCCATCGCTAGCAGCTGGGAATGGATGTGGTAGTACGTGGAGCTAGATCTATATGCGTGAGAGCAGCACCTCGTCGTCCTCACCCCTCCGTTTCACCGTCGTCCCGTTTTCTGCACTCCTGCAGGAACCTATATACGTGGGAAGGGAATCGTTCACTGTTGCTGTACCACCGTGACCAAGCTTCGGGCATAGTCTGAGGAACGATGATTAATAATTAGAGGGGAAAAGTAAGCGTTTCGCGAGACCTAGTCAACTTCTCCTCGCTGCTATTAAATCTTCGATGGTCTTTCTTTCATTGGGAATATTACGGGATTCGAGGGAAACGTTTCAGCTGATATATCTCTGTTGTAGGATAATTTGGAAATACTATCGAACAATCTGATTGTTTAACAAGTTTAACATTTTTATGAAATAAAAACGATAGAATCGTCGTGTTTAAAATATCTGCGAAACAAACGTTATTCTAACATTGTATATTTACCGTACACTCTGTAAATACGTATATCAATATTTACGCACGCTCAGAGAAACATTCCACTAGCGAAACGAATTCGACGAAGCAAAGAGGAAGAGAATATCCGGCGCACGGAAGAGGGAAAAATAGAGAGGATAGGAGAGAAGGGAAGAGGGATTATGCATATTCCTTTGTATCCGCCGGTTTTACCCGTTCCACCAGCCAGTTTTCATCCACTCGTCGCGCGATATCGACGAAACGTAATACGAAATTTGCCCAAGTCCTTCTTCCGCTTCCCTTCTCCCTTTGCGTCGGAGATGCTCGCCCTTTTAACCCACAAAGGGGATGTCACCGGGGTGGCGGTGGCTGCTTAAGCATGCTAACCAACGTCCCTGCTTCCCGTTCTGCCAATTTTTTCCCTCCTGTCCGCAATACGGGACGCGATAATGCCGCTTTCCACCCTTCCCCACCGGAAATTCATCTCTATACCAGACTTTATTCGATCGTTTCTGCTCCGATTCCAGGATTTACCAGTACGCGACAATGTCTGGACGAAAAAAGAAACCTCTTCATCGGTCGGCAACGATAGATTGTGAGAAGGGAGACAGGATGCCTTCGAGGTTAGTTGTTGAATTATTCAATGGAAAATTGGCAAATGTTTAAACTATACCACGAATGGGTATAGAAAGGAAATAATAGTGAAAATACAACGTGGTCGAGGGAGTAAGTAAAGTTTACATAGAAATAAAAGATAGTTGGATTTATTTTTCCAGATCGTATTGAAGTTACACCGAAAGAAGAAAAGTTCGCGTCCTTTATCCTAGCAACCTTCTATCGAAAATCGGAACAGGTAACGTATCTTTAGAAGATCTTACATTTGCTTTCTCGTGAAACCCGTTTACAATTTATCGGACTGGTTTGAGAGCAATTAACCATTTAAAAGAGAATAATTGTTCGATCGTTATTTCTGCTCTCTTTCCAAGATACATACACCACACCCACACCAGTCGACGACAATATACCTGTTATCGGTGATCGTTTGAAAGATTGCTGAAGAAGATGATGCGACAGACCGTACGTTGGATGGTATAGTAATCAAGGGAAAAACACGGACTCTACTATGCGAGGAGGGTGGATAGCTGACCCTCGAACGGGTCAGTGAATGCTAATTCCACCACCCACCCCCACTATCCCTGCCTGGTAACCGCAATCTACTTCCTTTGGGCTGCTACGGAGAACCGGTCCAAAAATTCATCGCTGGAGATGACATCACGGAAATTACTACCGTCTACGTTCCTCTATTCCCTCATGCATTTCCCCTCTCGCGCCAGACTGTTTGTGATACGGCTGATTGTATTAAATCTGGAGAGTCGTGCATATTATTAATTGTAATCTCACGATTGCTATGTAATGGATTTGTCGAGATTGTGTGTGCGTGTTTTACGAAAAATCGTCGTTTTGTAACGAAGCGTCGCTCTTTCAAATGTCGTTTAATCTATCAATTTCCGCTGTATAATTTTCCGTGCATCGTCGAGAGAAAGAAATTGCAACCTCAGGAGCAAATCTGTTTCTCTGAAAGATACACTCAAGTTTCATTTTTCGACATTTACAATGTTAATACAGACGTACAAATCGATTGTAGAAAGATGTACTACACGGTAGAAATTATCATTCCACGAGGAATACCTTTTATAAGAGATATTTGTAAAGAATACCTACTACTGCCACTTCTATACACCGTTCTCGCGTTAAAATAGAATTTCAAGCGGTATGAAATTTTTCTATTTGCATCGCATCGCGCGACGAATTTGCTGAAAATTACCTGTACGCCTGCGGCTTTCGATAAATTAAACGCACCACCGTGTCGTTACGAATATCAAGCTTCCACACACACCAATCTATAGACCTATGTGCGTACACCAGTTTGGCTATTATAACTCGTCAAGAGAGTTTCACGCGCTTTTGATTTACCGTCGTTGCCAGCTTCGACGATACCGCGCGTGTCGCAGTCGAACCGATCAAATTCCACCGCGTCTCGATATTAATATTATTCGAATGCACCACGATCGCCTATATTTATACGTATACAACGGAAATTTTCATTTTTCCCATGTGATATGTAAATTGGTTACTATTTTAGGAGGTTTTATACAACATAAAGGTGCATTTACTATCTTGGACTTGTAGTTTAGAGTGTAAAAGATAAAGTTTTTCACAGTGTAGAGGTTCCTTTATGTAATAAAATTCAAATAACAATTTAGGGTTTATTAATTTTGCATTGAATTCACAATTGCATGTAATAGATTAGTTAGAAATTGTTTATAACAATTGTATCAATTGTACAAAATGTATTTTACAAAAGGTTACAATATATCGCTATTGTTTTACACCATTTCACAGTCTACGTCCACTTCTTTTTGCGAAAAACTCGTTGTTCAAACGATATTCCATTGCAAAACTAAATAAATTAAGTCCGGAAACCGTTAGGGACACGTAAAAATCGAAAATGTTTCTAAATTACACTATAAAATTATGTTGCAAGTATAATACATAAATTATTATGTATAGTATTGGTCAATAGCGCGTGAGAGGTAAAAAGACGCAAATAAAAAATATAATTTCAAAGATTGCATTTCAATTGCTATTAATATTACCGTTTTCTGTTCTCTGAAAGTTAACCAAAAACGTCTGCAACTCTTTTCTCCAACGTTACCGCATTCTGCCAGTCGTGGCTGGTGCATCGTTAATGATATACACGACCAGTGCACTCATCGCGGTTCATTCGAGGAGCAACCGGCCGTGTTTCTTTCAATATTGCTTAATTATACATCCCTGCTCTTTTTGCCAAAACTGAAACTGGGATCGCTTCTTTATATACGCGTGATACGTAGAATGTACAACTATGTTACATGGGATAAGATTTTTCAGAGCATGTTGCTGCTTTTCAAATTTCCAATTTACACGAATTGCATAGAGTGATGGTGTAGTGGAAACGACAGTATTCCTTGTATCTTATCCCCTGTCTGACGTTCAATATTCTGCTATTACCCGTATTTTATATATCGTTACTGTCTTTATAACTCTCATGCAAGCTATCGAGAAAAACAAGGGTAGCAGTAGAGAAACGAGTTAGACAAGGAATGAGGCAGGGTAGACAAGGATGGCACTAGAGAAATAAGTTAGACAAGAAAAGGAATAGCGGTAGACAAGGATAGCAACAGTCCCGCGTGTTAGACAAGGAAAGGTATAGGGATAGACAAGGACAGAAAATTTTCGAAAGCGAAACTAACGCCATCTCGCGTCTGGTGACGTGAACTACGATTTTCTAATAGGTTAACAGAATATAAATAGAGGTATTAGACAAGGAAAGCAATAGTGTGCGACAAGGATAGAGAGAGAACGTTTCCTATTGGCTGGCGGGCGCCCAAGCTCCACCAATCACGGGCTAAACCAAGTCGGTCGGTGAAAAATCATTAATATCTCATTAATTACGATGATTCTGTAAACTTTTAGAATTGAAGAATGAAGAGTGGACCTTAAGCAACTTTCACATATACTTTTTAGTTCTCCAACTCCTTTCAGTAATTAGTTATTAACAATTATTGTGCGAAATGTCGGAAACGGTAGGACTCACATGTACGGTTTTTCATTAATATCATTGTCAGTAACAATTTCCGGTACATGTTTCTATATGAATATAAAAGGTAACATATTTAGCCACATTCTATTATAATTTTCATTAACATATCCCTTGTAGTTTGAGAGTTATTAATAATTCTTTGGGTGAGTACTAAACTCGTCGCATTCAGGTATAACATATTTTCGTTATTTCTATAGAAATACACGATTAATTGTATACTTTTATGCATGTAGAATGTAGCACGGTCTTTTCTTTACATTCTTCAATAATTTTCGTACACGTATCTAATACGGTTAATTAAATATTAACGATTGTTTAGAACAGTTCGGCATGCACGAGTACGATAAGCCGGTAACTATTCAATGTAATATTTAGTACCTTCTAAACTACAAAGGATATGATAATAAAAACTATAAAAGAATGTAGCTAAAGGAGTTGTCTTTCAGATGCATATAGTTATTTGCATAGGAATTAAAGAGAAAGCTATGAAATTATTGAAAAACCGGAAACGTATTAAACCCGTTTACATACGTCGCATTCAAGCGTAACACATTTTCGTTATTTCAATAGAAATGCGTGATAAATTATGCATTTTCAAGCATGAAGAATGTAGAATGGACTTTTATCTATATTCTGCAATAAGTTTGATAGCTCTATGTCGTGTGGTTTATTAGGTATTAGCAATTGTTTATGACAGTTAACTATACTCACATACGATGTATAGAGAACACTCTCACATAATGTTTAATAACTCCTAAACTAAACCGAATATGTTAATAAAAATTATAAAAGAATGTAGCTAAAGGAGTTGTCATTCAGATGAATATAGTTAGTTGCATGGGAATTTAGTAGAAAGCTATGTAATTATTGAAAAACCAGAAAGATACTTGACGGTATGCGGTATCGTTCCCGACATCACGTACTTAAATTATTAATAATTAATTATCGAAGAGGTCTAGTACACCAAACACTATATGCGAAAGTTGCTGAAGGTCCACACTTCATTCTTCTATACTAAAAGTTCACAATTCGTAGATATATTCGTAGATATTCGCAACTGTTTATAAGAGTTGACTATGCTCGAGTACGATGGATAGGAGACTCTCTCATATAATATTTAATAACATTTAAACTACAAGGAGTATGTTAATAAAAATTATAGAAGAATGAAGCTAACGGACCTGCCTTTCAAACGCGTATAGTTAGTTGCATGAGAATTTAGTAGAAAGCTATGAAATTATTGAAAAACCGGTAAGATACTTGACGGTATGCGGTATCGTTCCCGACATCACGTACTAAAATTATTAATAACTAATTATTGAAAGGGTCTAGAGAACTAAAAAGTATATGTGAAAGTTTCTGAAGGTCCACACTTCATTCTTCAATTCTAAAAGTTCACAGAATCATCGTAATTAATGAGATATTAATGATTTTTCACCGACCGACTTGGTTTAGTCCGTGATTGGTAGAGCTCGGGCTCCCACCAGCCAATAGGAAACGTTCTCTCTCTATCCTTGTCGCACACTAGTGCTTTCCTTGTCTAATACCTCTATTTATATTCTGTTAACCTATTAGAAAATCGTAGTTCACGTCACCAGACGCGAGATGGCGTTAGTTTCGCTTTCGAAAATTTTCTGTCCTTGTCTATCCCTATACATTTCCTTGTCTAACACGCGGGACTGTTGCTATCCTTGTCTACCGCTATTCCTTTCCTTGTCTAACGTATTTCTCTAGTACTATCCTTGTCTAACTTATGCGAGGTGTGGGGCAGATAAATTTACCCTCTTTATCTTATGATCGTTCTCTGTCCTTTTCTATTTGCTTTTTCTTCTTGTTTAGTTATTGCCAGCAAGTAAATCCGGAGGCCCGCGTTGATAATACCATAATGTTATGCATGAAGCTTGAGCTTTAAATTTCTCTTGAAATTCGACGTCGGCGATGGACGGAGGATGGACAAAGATTTCGTAGTGGACAAGGTTTTTTTACATAACTAACTATATTTTTACCATTTAAAAATATACTTGTGACAGAAAGAAAGAAACGAGTGGATAATGCAAAGAAGTTAAAACGTTAAGCAAAATATTGAATTAAATAAACTTTATGCTTGTAGAATTGCAATGCTGCTAGTAAAATACTGAAAATTAGATTCGAATGTGATATAGGGTATTACATACAACGTGCATTTTACCTACTATACCCCATTCTATCTACTTGCTAAATCTATACTATATAATGTATTTTATTTAATTAGCAAAATTCGCACTGTTTTCAAAATAATTTTTATTAAATCATCGTGTTCCACCGATGGTATCCAAAATTACCTGATATAATTAGTGGTTACTTTGTACTTACAAATTAATAGAATAAAGAATCGATAGTTCCTGAATGGATACTGCATTTGCATACGCACGTAATAAAAGTAATTAAATCCATTTAAAGTTAATCATGCCTTCTCGGGGCGAAGATATTCTTAAAGGTTTTCAAGTGTATCCTTTCCATGTATAATAATACTTGTTGCATATAAATCATACGTAAACATGATATTTTATAGGTTAGAATAAGTTATGAAAAAAGTTAATATTACTTATTTTATAGTGCTGTTTTAAATACAGTTGTATTCCTTAGCTGCCATTTATTATAGAAATTGGATGATTTTACGAGATGCTGATAGTGGTAAAATACTGTGGCAAGGTAACGAAGACTTGTAAGTATATTTAACCTATAAAATTTTTGACAGTAATACAGTGATATGATCATCGTCTAAAATGTATGACTTTACTGTATATAGGTCTGTACCTGAAGTAGAACATGAAGCAAGAGTACCGAAAAAGATTTTAAAATGTCGTGCAGTATCGCGGGAAATTAATTTCAGTTCTGCAGAACCAATGGAAAGGTTTAGATTAGAGCAAAAGGTGTTGTTTAAAGGCCGGTGCTTAGAAGAATGGTTCTTCGAATTTGGTTTTGTTATACCTAACAGTACTAATACATGGCAGAGCGTAATTCAAGCTGCTCCTGAAAGTCAAATGATGCCTGCTAATATTTTAAAGTAAGCATAGTATATACCATGATAATTTTCTATTTGAAATCATTTGATTGTATTTAATTCTTGTTTGTCTTTGTTTAGTGGCAATGTTGTGATAGAGACAAAATTTTTTGACGATGATCTATTAGTCTCTACCAGCAAAGTCCGCCTTTTTTATGTCTAAATATTCCATTCTATCTTGATAATATGACATGGGTCCAACTAGTGTGTTTTGGCACGCACACACAGGATGGAATACTGGAGATGATGATAATAATTTTAAACAAAGTTTATATTGAATATATTTCACTACATGCACCTACTGTGATACGCACTGTGCTGAATGTATTTTCTCACATTTTCATGACTGACAACAAACAGCACTATTTCCGTTTTGTATAAGCTTAACTTAAGGAATTATTGTGGTAATGCTTGAACTGTGAGATGTGCACTTTTTAAGGCACAACGCATCTTTATTTATTAAGTATGAATGGATGTAGCAAATTTTGTACATATTGTAATACACTACACTGATCAAATAAAATAACGTCCATGAAAGTTTCATGTGTTAAACAATACTATATACCAATCTCTTCGTTTTACTCTTTCTCGCAAAATAGCAATTATAATTAGACTAATTGCAATTATTATTACCAGAGAGATTAACTCGTTAAAACGTTGAAATATACCATTTTTACGTTTGTACAATTTTCGTTCCTCCAAAATCATCGATTATTATTATCATATGGTAGTTACATTTATTTGTATTTCGATACCGAAAAACGGCCGATAGCGCGCGAACATGCAAATATGAATTTCTCGTTAAATGGGAAAGGGCTAGATATACCTTTTTTCTACTGTACACCCATGCTATTGATTCGTGGTGTATAAGCGATACATTTTTGAGGCTTCACTGCCCCTCTTGAGGGAGTTCATGTTGAATATACTCTGTCCCCTACCCTATCTACATCGTACAGGTGTAAGGAAAAAAGGAGGAAAAGAGAAAAGAAATAGCAGAGTTGCGGAGTCGCTGTGGTACCCACACGAACTTCTCAACCTGGTAGTGATTCAATTACCATTAGCCTATCCTTCACCGGTCTGCCGTCTGCCTCGCTTATTCGGTGTTTAATTAATTAAACGACGGAAGCCAGATATTACAATGGATTTAAAGGAAGAAGACGAAAGTGCGAACGAAAGTGGTAGACAACTATTTTTAGTGGGTGCACCGCGTGATCCTCTAGTATCCGCTGGGGCTATCGTTGCCTCTGCTGGAGCACCAGACGAGATCAATCCCGGAGGAGATCTACAGTCGACTACTCTAGCTGGTCTGATAGGCGCTCAATCTTCCTCGGTTTGCTTTCCTACAAAATTCTGTAAGTGCACCCTGCCACCCCAGACCTGATTTAATTAACTGCCACTCTCTACCTGTCGGCTCGTAAGTTGGGGCAGTCCTCAATTAAATTATTGCTAAATGCATTAAGCGAATCGGCAGCCCTTGTTTTAAATAGAGTTAGTGGTAATCAGTTTAACAGTTATGAACCATTTTACGCCAAGTAAATTCAACGTGATTAAGTGCCAGTAATCAATGTCCCAACTTACGTGAATACGTCGCACGACTGTGCTTCAGTTCATAGTTGATTAATTACACAGTTCTCCCATTGCGACATACCATGTTTCACTTTGTGTAAACATTACCACATATTTCACAACGAAATTCGTTTCGAAAATTCATACATTTTTTTAGCGTACGACTTTTCACCAAGTCCGGGAAGCGAGGACAGACAATCATCTGGAGTTGGTAAAAGAAAGCAACGCAGATATCGTACCACGTTCACAAACTTCCAGTTGGAGGAATTAGAAAGAGCTTTTCAGAAGACACATTATCCTGATGTGTTTTTTAGAGAAGAGCTTGCTCTACGTATCCAACTGACAGAGGCTAGGGTACAGGTATATAGCTGCATCTGTTATTGCTCCAAGAGAAAAATGTAATCAATGATAATTATCAGCTTGTACAACTTATTTGTAGGTATGGTTTCAAAATAGAAGAGCAAAGTGGAGAAAACAAGAGAAACAATGTAAAGTAACCACTCACTTGACTTCACATTTACCAACTGATTGTCAAGAAGTTCAACAACAGCAGCAACAGCAACAACAGTCTGATCATTTGTTACTGGAACCACCATTAGGCAGTCCACCACCTATATATCTTGGCATGGAATGGGCAGGTTTTTCACCTTATAGTAATGCAGCCACTGCATCACCTCTTGTGGTTAATAGCATGAATAAGCCACTAGAATCGGAGACAGATGACAATCCTTTGTTGGATCCAGAACTGTTGCAACTAAAAACTCCACGTTCCTAATAGTACCAACCCAGATCTATGCTGTAGTGTAACTCATTAATAACGTTCTTTATCTTACTATGTAACATTTTTGAAGAGCAACATGTGATGCAAACAATCCTTTGCTCCATCACTTGAATTTTACCATGTATAGTGCAATATATGGCCACCACAAGTGTTATATATATGTTATTACCAGTTTTCATTGGTAATTTACTGGTAATTTAAAAAACGAGGGACCAGAGACTTAATATAAGCAACGAGGTAAAAGTTCGAATTTGAATATACTTGGAATATTGTTACATAGATTTTATAAGAATATATAGATTTATTCTTCCTATGGATTCAATGAATCTTAAAACGTGTAGTAATAATTGTATGTTGTATTAAAATCAGAAATGAAATTTTTACCTTTGGGAAACCAATGAAATTGTCCCAGCATAAAATAGTAACATCATCTTTATTCCGTGCACATATATTACAAGTCATTGAATCAACTAAGTTATTAATTGGTTGATTTAGGAGCAAGTAAGCAATTCAGGATGCTTTCTTTGATCTTTCAAATGGGAGATTCGGTTTTGAAAGTGTCGTTTAAAGAGAATATCGTTTCTCCTTACCGAGATGTATTCGGTAAGACAAAAGTTAATCGTTTTATGAAAACATTAGCAAATATTATCGTAGCATGAACGATCAAGAAGTACCCTGAATGAAATAAATTAATGATGGTGACAGATGGTACAATAAAATCATGCGACGTACGAATACTCATCTGCGTTATTTGGCGTACGTTCGATATACTGCTTATCTATAAGGGCTTCGATACATTTTTTAATCATGCTGATTGATGGTGCAAATGTAACCTTAGATTGACTTAGTACCTGGAATGATATTATTTTATTCAGTTGCATGCGTCAAATTGAACCACGTCACGAATCATGACAAAAAATAAAATCTCACCTCTTGTACGAGTTGATTGTGTCTCAAAACCCTACGACTCTTCATAATTCGAACTATAGCTGCTTGCAGGTACATTTTTCTGTCGTCGTCGACACTGCGATGTGTAGCTTCTACATCGTGACATTCGTGCGATACGTCCCGTTGCAACGCTCCAGTTATACGAAATTTTGTTCTCTTATTATGGTAATCGAAATTGAGCGTCAGCACCGTATCCTCCTTCAATTCTCCTTCCGTTGATTTTTTTAGAATTTTAGAATCCACTAGACTGGTCGCGTGTTTAACTAATTGATCGTGTGATAAGCGTAACGATGCGGCAGCTTCTTTGCATTGTATCGAGTCACAATGTTCAAAAAGAAGCAGCAATGCCATTTGGTATGTTTGTACGGTGACCAAATAAGGTTTCTTTAAGTAATTAAACTTGAGTTCCCCTTGACAAAGGTGATGCAACCAAGTAAGTTTCCGCCCGCTAAATTGCGCGTGATAGAAAGTTTCGAACGCCTGTATAGATTTTTCTAATTGTTGAGGAATATCAAATGGACCTGGGGATGGTGGTAAACCTAATGGCCAGGCACCTGCTTGTAACACATACACCACAAAACCGATGCCTAATTGATTTTCTCTGTCCCCTTTTCGTAAACTGTTCGTAAATTTGGCATTCAAATCCCCCGAAACGGACATGTCGGTAAACATTCGATGTAGCTTATTCGTGAACTCATAGCCACAAGCCTGTTTTAAACGATCGATCATTGATTCCTCGGCATCCATTGATTGCGATTGTTGATGAATTAAACGCTTCGCCAACATCCGCGCGTAAAACTTCTGGAAAACATCCTTATCATCAACGTATTTGAACACGGTGATACAACGTGCTAGTTTTTCCTCTATTTCACCTTCTGATGCGGCCTTGGCAGTTTTTTTCAACAAGGAGTCGCAATATTTAGCAAGCTAAAGTAAAAATATTACAAATTACAAAACACGTTTAGTAAAATTGTATCAAACTACGATTACTCAAAATTACTTACAAGTTCAGGGGCTCTAGCTGGTTGCCGTGGAATGGGCTTATGATTTACGACAACCGAGCAAGCTTTACCAAGAGCAGTTACAAAAGCTTGATCGGCTCGGAACACATCTTTAATCAATTCCGAATATTTGTGATGCACGTCCAGCATGCTTTCCACAAATTGTGTATGTATCTATATTACGCGATTATTAGACAATAGGGTGCTTTTATACATGATCAAATTATATTTACTGTTATTACTTCTCTTACATTTTCTCCTTGTAAAGAGCCAATTGCTTGTAGTCCTTGCTGAGTAATGTGTTGAGTAAGTTTTTGTACAAGTGGTGCTAAACCTTGAGGTAATGGCCTCAGCAATGGATAAAGGAGTGTCAAATCCCTTCTACGTTCATTTTCTATCATACTCTCTGCTTCCTTATAAAGCCACTCCACGTGTGTTGCTATCATTTTTTCTTCACAGCATTGTATCACCTACAAAATATTACTGTCGAACAATCGACCACTTTAACTTAACATATTTGCGTAATACACAAAATTAGAAGCGTACTTTAGGCGCAGAGCTTGAATGAAGAAACTTATTAGCTCGAAGTTCTTCCTCAACGAGTCGCCACGTAACTCTTTCCATATAATGCGTTACGTCCGATTGTTGAAGCAACTCAGATGCTTCCCTCATAAAAAACTCTCCACTAGCCTCAAGGAAAGGTGTTTCAAAAATTTCTTGATACATCTAAGACAAAATACACTGTATAAAATAATTTTATCAGAAATGCAGATATTAAATAAAATTAAATAAAGCAACAAAGATTATTACATCCACTTGTCCCTTAATTTTGTACTCCTCAACTCGAACAAAACTTTGTATCACACCACAAGTAACTTCTGTACTTGCTGAGAGAGATGTACCAACTCTGTCTGCATGAATGTTTTCTAACAATAAAGACACCAGTTGTTTCTTTAATGGTACAATCATCATCCTTTTCCAAATATCTAAACCAAGTTCTCCTATTTCCATTTGCTCTTGGCAATAAGCAGCTGCAGAAAATGTGCCATAGATAAGTTCTGCCTCTGAAAGCTTTTGCCCTTTAATATGATGTTGATTCAGATATAAGTATAAGTGATGCAAGTAGTTAATGCCCTGTGAATATTCTGTCCAAGCTTTATAATATGCTTGCAGCACACTGGATTCATCTTGGGCACGAACTTTTGTTAACAACTGGAAGACATGATTCTTCAAGAAGCTTTCTGTCTCATTATATAATTGATCGGCAAGTGGTTCTGGATATGCCACACATAATGAATACACATCGCTGAAATAAAATGCAAAACATATACAGAAAGTCAACATTGACATACTTTTACATATCCTAATTTTAACCAAAAGAGATCATTAAATACCTGAATCTATCATTCCATGTTGCACGTGGAACATATGATAATGTTAGTACATTGTTTATTGTCTCTTGCAATGCAGTCCATATCTGAGTAAAATCAACTCGTTTAGGCTTTAGTGACATCCTTTTACACGATCAACAAAATACCACAGACTTGCAACACCACGGAGTTAAATATACCAATTCTATAATATAATTATTAAACTTGTAAACCTACAAGAAAGTAGTGTTTTCAATTGTAATTCTTCTGCAATGATGAAAGGTAAGTCAGAAAGTATTTAAACAAATGTTAAATACATATTAAAAGTCAAATGATTAAAGAATATTAAAGCCAAGCACCTAAAATATATTCCAAGAATAATCTTTCAATTATAGACAAAGACAGAGATTACAAGGCGTTGTCCAAGTGTTTTGTACATCAGTGGTTTAAAAATAATATAAAAGTAAAATACATCGCGGGTACATTTACATTTCATAGTCGCCCCAAATTTCTTTTTATGTGAACTTCTTTGACGCAACGTGTGCGCGTAGCAAATTATTTCTTGGAATACTTTTTTAGAGCAAGTAGATCAAGCTGATCAGCACTCGAAATAGCGCCTGAACGTTTGAATCAAAAAATATAAACCGTTCGTAAATCATCGTCAAACATGAACCAGGAACAATTATGTTTCGTTGTAATTGCATTTTATTACAAATTATGATTATAATTATACGAGACGTCTCAATGATCATCGAACGAATTATAAACTACACGTGTAAACGCGCGTTACGAACTACAGCTGACTGGTATTATCCAGATGGTCATGATCGAAACCACTAACCAAAAACTTGTAGAAAGAGTGGTCTGTATTCTTAGAGATGCGATTGCTGATCGATTCTAATTCCTGTTAAGATAAATCCTTCGAAAACACTTCTTTTCAGTAATTCGTAAATCATTCCCAGTTGCAAAATACATGACATTTACAATGACTCGTCTTGATCGAACACATTTTCTCTCTCTCTCTCTCTCTCTCTCTCTCTCTCTTTCTCTTTCCTCTTTCACTCTCTCACTCTCCTTCGTTTTCTTTCTTTAGTTCTCACTTCAACTGCCACTTTTATAAAACTTTTTTACTTTAAAAAGAACTTTCAATCCACAAAAAATATAAACTTTTTTCTCTATAACAGTCAACGAATTAAATGCGAAACACCGGACTGTCTTGAATTTCTTAATAACATTGCAGAGCCATGTTTTTTCCCCTTTGCTCTTGACTTTCTGGGATCTTGGAGGGGATGATAGAACAGACTGTATAGAGGCCCTACTCTCAATAGAGAATACACCATAATGCTCTTACGTAAATTTCAAATTTTGATTATGTATCGTATTTTATTTAATCACATTCTCTTTACTTTATTGTACTTAAAAATATTCACTGAGCGAATTTAACGTATCATTGTCCAAATCTATAAGTGATATAAAAAAAAATTAATAAAGTTTTAGAGTTTTCATTAATTCAAAATAATGCTGACTTTCCCCGTACATTTTTCATACATATAATACTTACAAATTGTGTTAAACTAAAGAATAACACATACTTAAACTAGAGTATTACATTTTATTTGAAACATCAAACACATTAATTTGCATTTTAATGCGTACGCGAATTTATGTTTACATCTTATGACGAAGAAGGAAACTGAACTTCTATGCGTTCCGTACTCTGTGACTTATAACTTACACTGTAAGGTGCATTTTAAACTGCGGTAGCATTTAATCAGTGGGAAACTTCATAAAATTCCTGAAAAATGGTAATTATTTAAGCACTAAACAGTAACCTTTTAAAAAACAGATCTAATTCTCTAAAATTTGGATTGCTGTTGTACTTAAGTAATTCGAAAACAGTGTAAAATGAAAAGGAGGTTATGTTACTGTCAAATATACTGATGACATTGCATGTTTTATAAACTATCATATAATGCTATAACTATATTTTAAATTAGATTTCATTAATCGTATGTTAGTTATATAAACAGAAGCTTAACAATATGAAAATTATTTTTTAGAGTATTTTAGCTTATAATGGTGGAGCTATCATAGCAATGAAAGGCAAGAATTGTGTGGCAATAGCTGCTGATCGCAGATTTGGTATACAAGCACAGACTATAACACGTAATTTTCAAAAAATTTTTGAAATGGGTCCACATTTATATCTAAGCTTACCTGGTCTTGCCACTGATACTCAAACAGTAATGGAAAAACTAAGATTTCGATTAAATTTGTATGAACTAAAGGAAAATAGAAAGATACATCCTAAAACATTTGCATCAATGGTATCAAACTTATTATATGAGAGAAGATTTGGGCCTTATTTTGTAGAGCCTATCATTGCTGGGTTGATTCCTGGTACATACGAACCGTACATTTGTAACATGGATTTAATAGGATGCATAAGTACACAAAATGATTTTGTTGTTGGTGGGACATGCAGTGAACAGCTTTATGGAATGTGTGAATCACTGTATGAACCAGATTTAGAGGCAGATGATCTTTTTGAAACAATCAGTCAGGCTTTAGTAAATGCATGTGATAGAGATGCAATATCAGGTTGGGGTGCTCTTGTTTACATAATGTAAGTTATTTTTTTCTTAGTTTTTACTTTCTTATTGTTGTAAAATTCAAATTATTGGTGTTTTATTACAGAGAAAAAGACAAAGTTACAACCAAATCTATCAAAACGCGAATGGATTAAAATATCTCGAAAATACACATTTAAATTGTGTATAAATATGAAACCACCTTTTAAGAGATGTATACATTGTTTGAATAAATTACTAATTTTCAATAAACGAAATATAAAATCTTATAAATCCTATGGATTGTTATTTGTCCAACAAATAATTACTATATTTATCGATGTTGGTAACAATTACTGTAGGTCTTCATATTTCTGTTTTACATTATTCAGGTTATGATGCCACTCGGTCGGTATCTTGAGTTTGGTACATAACGTTAGAAGATAATATATTACGTTTTACATAAAGTACTGTATCTAAAGAAAAAAGCCACAATGGCTGTTAACAGATTATGTACAATATTTCGACAAATAACGATAAACAAACAAAGTATGTAAAGTATATTCTTTATATAATTGTTTGCTGGAAACATAACCTAACTGACGTACGTAATTTTATAATTATTATTATTTTAGGTAATATTATTGGAAGATATTGTTCTTCCCATGTATTAAAAGAACAAAATAATAATTTACGTTCCCATAATTATTCCAAGAATGTGCTACACGTAGCACAAACAGAGTTGCATATTAAATTTATACCGAGAACACTTAACATAGATTTTGGAAATCTGGATGGTATTATGAAAAAAAATATAAATGAAATACCTCTACCTAAATATATACCATCAATAGAAGAACCTCTAACACGGAAACCTATTCAACAGGACATGCCATTAACAGATAAATCTTTTCAACTTCCACCAACGGTAAATGGTTGTGAAAAACTTGCAAAACATTTAATAGTAATTAGGAGACAAAAAATGAAAAAACACAAGAGAAGGAAATTGCGCAAAAGAATGCAGTTTGTATGGACAAAGCTAAGAGCAAAACGTAATTCATTAAGAGAAAAAACCTTTCAAGCAGAATTAATTGCAAAAATTAAAGATGCACAGTCGTTTGATGTCAAGAAATATATCGAAGAAAGACTTGCTATTCTAGATAAAGAAATTTTACCAAAAACTTATAAAGGTGAAATATTGTCTGCACAAGTGATTAGACAATTTTTGAAAGAAGATAGAGAAAAATGGGAAAAAAGAAAAAATAAACCTCGTTTAACACTTGATTAAACATACACACAGATATTGAATAAATAGATATTTGTTCTAGAAATTTGGAGTTCCTTTTGATTTCCCCTTTTCCATATAAATAAGATTTTAATATTTTAAAGTAGGAGGAATTATATTTTCTATGGAATTGAAAAAGGTGTAATTATACAAATGACATAATACATATATTGAAAACGTTTAATTTCACTTATAAAACATAGTTTGCATTGCTGAAATTTGTATACACTGTCAGACTATGTTTTTTTACAAATATCATTTACATCGCTTTTAACTATATTTTGTCTTTTAATCACATATATACAAATGTTATAATACTATGATAATAATAAATAGCACCTTTTGTTTTCGTGTGCGTGTATTAAAAAATTTGCAAGGCACGTGTCCTAATTTTCAAAAAATCTAATATATTCATTAACGAGTATATCTGATCCTTTCAATGACTTGTACTCTTTAAGAAATATATCGCATCGTCACCTTCTTGAAGAAACTATGCGCGATTTAATTACTTGAGTGTTTAATTAATAAATAGATATCGCTAAAAATTAAAATTATCCTACCTAAACACGAAAAATAAAATGTCAGAATATCGATAGAAAAGTCTTAGTGTAACTTAACTGATCATAATCGATTTTTAAAGTCTTTCGATCACGTTTTGTCAGCTGTACTATCGTCTTGTTACAAGACGAACTTAGAATACCTTTAAGTATTTATAAATTAAGAACTGCTTTCTGATAATAATATGCGAATTCATTTTTGTTAACAATAATAAAACATAGCCATGCAACTTTTTATCTTTGTTTTATGGAAGACAGATTTGTTCGATCTATTCCTATTAAAACGTTAACTGTACGCGTTGCTTCAGGGGAATATTTGACCCTTTTTTACTTCTAACACCTTTGGCTTATTACTACGTATAGTTCCAGTTTTTAAATTACTATTCCTACCGGAAAAGTAGTCCTCTATTTCTTGAAGTGATTTACCTTTAGTTTCGGGAAGGCACAAGTAAAAGTATATTGTACCGAATAACGATATACAACCGTAAAGAATGAAAGTACCATGCCGAGTAAGAGCGCTAACTAAAAACGGATATGTTTTAACTACTGTAAAGATGAAGGAGTGGGCTGCCATAGTAGTCAAACCACCGATAATACCGCGTACTTGTACTGGATATACTTCGCCTATCATTATCCAAGGGATAACAAGGAAACCAAGAGTGCAAGTTATAGTGTATGCAAATATACAAAAGACAGGGAACCAGGTAGCAACGATTGGAAGGTTGCTTACAGTCCAGTATTCTTTCAACCACATATATCCACCTAGTCCAACCATAGAAATTCCGCAACCAATGGAAGAGACCATTGTGAGGGGTCTTCTTCCACATCTTCTGCACAAGATGCAAGCGGCAATAGTGGATGCTAATCTTACTACTCCAAGAATTACCGCAGCTAAGTACTTGTTTAATGTTGCCCCCGAATCTTGGAAGATTTCAACGGCGTAAAAGGTTATAACATTCGTGCCTGACCATTGGTATATCAAAAAGTACAAAAACAACAGAGTGAACGGTTTCAGAGCATTAGGTTTTAAAAGAGCGCCAACTATCTCGCGGAATCCTGTTAGACGCTTAATATTGTTTTTAGTGGAAAAATTAATAAGCACTTCCATTTCTTGATTAATGTTGCACGCACTACCTCGAAATTTCTGTAATGCTTTCCGTGCTTTTTCAGGTCTGTTACGAGATATCAAATATGACGGTGTCTCAGGAAAGAGAAACATCAGCAATAGAGCAGCAAGAGGTAAAATTCCACTAATGGCCGCACAAATGTTCCACGTAAGTACGCTTCCCAATGCATATTCGATCATAACTCCAGTGCTGACTCCGATACTCGCAAAAGCAGTCAACATTCCTCGTAGATGGGGTTGAGTCACTTCTCCGGTATAAACGCGCGCTGGAGCGCCCACCATGCCGGAACCAAGTCCTACGAAGAATCTTCCAGCATATATCATATGAATATTAGTTGCAAATGCAATTAATACCCATCCAAGCAATGCTGGAATTTCTGTGATGATGAGAGACCGTTTCCTCCCAAGTGCATCCATCATATATCCAGACATTAAACATCCAATGGGAGTTCCAATGGAGGACATACTAGCTACAGAGAAATTATAATTTGTTATTATCATAGCCATAAAACTGAATAAGCTTCGGTTAAATACTGTTTATTTACCAATCCATGATTCCTCAGATGATCCCTTAGTAATGGGAATGGTACTATTTGCTTCCTGAAGTTGTGGAGCAGCAATGGCAGAAAATCCAAAAGTCATACCAGTGTTAACAGTACCAAGCTGTGCTACTATTGCAGCAAGTACTTGTCTGACTACACTTCCATTAACATTGCAGCCATTTTCTGGGTCAGTATGCACATTGTTTGATGCCAGCACAGATTTCTCATCTTCCAATTGATTGGATGATTGAATTTTTGAGAGTATCGTTGAATCCACCAAGGATGATTTCTCTGAGTTTTGGATGTCACCATTGTTCCTGCATCAGATAATTCATTTTATCATATTAATATATGATTTCTCAGAAATTTGTGTAAAAGCAAAAGATCATGAACTAGATATTTATACATATAATAAAACTGATTTAATAGAAATGTGCATGGTAATAAACTTTTTTGCGCACTATACAAACTGTATAGAGATACAAACAGCCTTTCATATCTGGTCCTGCTGTCTATCTATCAAGTAAGAGACAATTATTTTTACTTAATGTAAATAAAATGTCATGTATCTGAGAATGCACGTCAATATTTACTTGGAAATAATTTTTTGATGAAAGAAAAACATTTACAGAAACAGGAACGTTCATTGAGGATTAATCCTTTTTTTCTCGTGCTAATGAACCCTTGTTATCGAGTACGAGAAACATAATAACGTTCGAGATAACTCGAAAATTTGGCACTGATTTCATGCTACCAAAATAAAGTTCGACCTAAATCCCGTTCAATACTAGGAATCGATTTATGAATTATTTCTACAAACACCTTCGCATATTTCGTAACTGTGCAAATTAGCATTAGTCAACACACCATCACCTAACATTTCACCTGTATCCTATGCAATAGAAATAAATTTTTAAAAAATGTGTAAATATTAATCGTGAAATACAATAGTTAAATGGTAAAAATTTTTTGCAGTCCGAGAAAAAACATAAAAAAGTAGGCTGATGTAATTACGACCATTAAAATCGAGAGAACGACAGAAATGACACAAAAAGAACTTTGTAACGCGTGTATTATCGGCAGACAACGTGCATTTCCTTGACAATTTTCAGAACATTGAAAAACAGAGACAGCGAGGCGCTTCTTTAAAGTAGATTACGAACTAACATTATTGCAACATAGCGATAAGCGAATTCGAATCATTCTAATCGAAGAAAAAGAATCAAAATTAAGACACTCTAACAATTGAAACATCTTTTCGATGATTATATTTGAAGAATTTCGTATTCTATGTAAAAGCTACTTATTAAGACAGTAGTGAAAATTTTTCCTTATCGTAGCTACTATCATTCATACATATTATCATATCATATTATCATATCATACATATTAAGTACATACATATTCATTTGTGTGTATTTTGTTATATACACAAATACCTCTGCATTATAATTATCTTTGCTCTCATATTTGTCAGATGGAATAATAACGAATCGATCGATCTTATTACGGATTGAAGGTTTCGCGCCAAAAAAATATTATCGATAAATGTATTATGAATTAAATTGTGCACAAAATACAGGAGCTTAAAGAAATATAATACTTGAAAGGAATGGAGAAAAATATTTTGCTTGAGACGTTTCCAGAAAAGAAAATCCACAATGATGAATGCCATTCCTTTTTTCCTCATTTTCAATGCAACGAAATGTACTGCGTTCCAAAGCGATGGTCGCATCAATTTTAAACACGCAACTTTCTCCATACTGCACAATTACTTTTCGTCTTGGATTATTTTTCCACGATTTTCTAACCGAAATTTATTCGAGAGAAAAAATTTGCAAAAATTTATCAACACCGAAAGTTATTGATAAGCATTGATAATTTGATTTTGTTCACAAACACGCTAGAGACAACTGTTCGCGCTTAATGCGGTATAAGCAATAAGACACGTTGATACAACGGTGTATCTATGTACATACATATGTACTGATAAATATCACTAGCGAGATTACTTTCACATGCAGATTGTTATTAATAAACGCAGCTGGATATAACTTTCAGGAGTCTGATAGTTGTTTTCATTATTCCTACTCAGACGTATGACCAATGATTATGAAATCAATTAACGCATATAGCAGAAGTAACCGAGAATACTTTTTCAGGATTGACCGAAGCGACGTAGTTGAGCAGCCTTAACCTGTATTGTTGCAGATTTGCTTCAAATCCGAAATAAGCATGCGCGTAGAAACGTTAATAACACGCGGGTAAAGAGGGTGTTAAACCTGTCGGTAACTCGCCTTGATTTCTCATTTCTCGATCGTGTAAACTTTTCTCTGCAAAGGAGAACGTATGAAATGTAGATGTATGTTTACGAAGAATTTTTTTTAGCGATATACGTTAGAATTTTATTTGGAGGTTAAAACGTTCCTCTCTGTGTTGTTTTCTCTCGTTATTGTCTTTCGAATGCACTGAACTGAGAGATTCGTGAATTTTGGCACACACACACGAGAGAAATTATTTTTACTCGCGTGTTACACGAAAGGGTTCAAGTGTACATAGTGCACACAATCGTCCCTGGTCGGCGTATATTAATAGTTTAATTACATCACACATGTTTGACAACGGAAAACACAGAGGAACGCCGGTACAAGAAACCGAATAGCGGAAATGAACATGACATCACGTTAATGTAAGATTAATTCATATACATTTACCTATGCAAATGAAATTGTCTTGAATATTTTAATAACAATATTCATGTAATTCCAACGGCTGAAATGGTAATCGTGATTACAGTTTATAATCGATAATGCAGGAGAGAAAGAAATCAGTCAATCGAAATTATCTTGGACCGAGATTCGAACCCTCAATCGAGATATTGTAATCTTTCGAAATCTCTCGATCAAACATGGTCGCCGTCTTTTCTAATCAATTCACTAATTAAGAAATGATGCACTATCCGCGAAAATGCTTAACAAAGAGACGAGCATAGTTCGAATGTAATATCAGCGATAATTCACAGATGCAGCGAGCTTTAGTTGTCGTCAGGCCATTCATCAATGACACTACTTGACGGCGCATATTAATAGACTAATTACATTAAGTCGCGGTAAATGGGCCCAATTGTTATCTATTTGCAACGTGTTGAGTACGAGGATCTTGTCGTTGCAATTCAACCAGAAAACAATTACCATTCACGGCGAAAATAATTAACGCACATTTGAAAATCGACGTTTACACACCTACCATTATTCAAGTTTCATTTACGCGAAGTAATAGTGTATTGCGAAGAACACGATTTTCATCGTTCATCGACAGTTGTCAACACTACGCGAGCGGAAAGAAAGTAAAACAGCGAAGAAGATAAAACGCAGTATAATCGTTTATGGTTGCTTATCTATCCCGGTGGTGCCATTAATTTAGCTAATTTTTCAGAATCTCCAATAGAAGCCTTGTTGATAACGCTTAAAAAGCTGCATTTACGAGTGCTATCGCGCTGAAACCGGAAAAAAATACGAAACGTCGCACCGAATTACAAAAGAAAAGAACAACACAGTACTCTCGTCACAATGACTAATTTATGATAAAAACGATGGGAAGATAAAGTAAGAAATGGCAAAACTGTACCGTTTCGAAAGCAACGATAAAAATGATTTATATTTATGCAAATTTTGTAAAAATCAGAAGAAAATATGGCAACGATTGACTCGTACAAGAGTGTCAACAGGAATCGTTCGACTTTCGTCTGCCACGTGCGAGTGCGAAGCGAGGGCATCGTGCGAGTAGAAGAAGGAAAACAAACTCACACAGCGCTTGCACACACACGACCACGCACACACACACATTTACACACGTATGTACTTACTCTGCCATGGTGTTCGTCATATCAATCTTCTGTTGTCGTTTTCCCCAAAGGGATAGTTATTAAATAAAATAAAATAAAAATATGTACAAGTTATATCACAGTTCGTTCGATCACAATGCTATAATTATTACGCGAAGAAATTCGCGTGTCATCGCCTTTTTCCTCTTTCCTTTCTTTCAACTCTTTGTTTTCTCGTTGTCTTCGTCTTGCCCAGTGTTCCCTGTCTTCCTCTCTTTCTGCTTAAACCTCTCTAACGAAATCGCACAAAATTACGTACTATTTTCAGGAAAAGCTTCCGTTCTCTCAGAACATTCTTGAAACGCCGATTGTGCGTCCTATCTCGTAGAATCCCACTGGTCTCTTTTTCCATGGACAATACATATGCACCGACCGTCTTGATAGTTTTTCTGTGCGGTTGACTATCTTTTTCTCGCGAGAGTAGGAGGAATCGATCGATGAAAACTGACGAAATCAGATGAAAGGAAAGAGGAAAGATCACAAGAGAAATGCAAAAACCACTTAGAAAATCGTAGAAAGAGAGAGAGAGAGAGAGGAACTTTGATCTTTTTTCACTTCTTCTCTTTTGTGACGACGCGCGCGAAGCGAATGTACTTGCAACAACCGCCGGGAAAGCTTTATATAAGCAAAAGCGACCGACCTTTTGGTTGGTCGAATCCCCGCTGACCTGCGCAGTAGAAAGACGCGCGAATTTTGTCTGATCGCGCATGCGTTCTACGATCCGTCGTCTATTCACAAGAAATTCTCGAAAAAATGAAATTTAATCCAATTTATCTCGTGACGAAGAAAAGCCACCGTGTAATTAAACTACGTCTATAAATCAACTGGAATTTATCGAATGGAATTGGGATTGGCATGAAAAATCCTGGAGAAAAAGTACGTGTAAAAAAGTTGAAAGGTAGATAATTGCTAAAGAATACTGTTATATTGACCGCTTTTTCAAAACATCAGTTGTTAATTAATATAACATGGAAATTAGGTATTACGTTACATTTTGTTCAAGGAGCGACGTGGTAATGTTGACAGAACACGAAAATAAAAGCAGTGCAAACACGTCTGTCGGATGGAAGTAAAAAAGAGATAAGAAAAAAAAAACTGCGCTTAAAATTTTACACACGAAGAGGTAGAGGTAGCGTGTGCCTGATTTTCTTTTCAAATCGAAAGCACAATCTACATTTCGAATCGATAAGAGCAATCACGAGGATTTGATCATTTGTTTATCTGAGAAAAATAGTGCCGTATCGCTCGACGGTTCTACAACTCGTGACTGAATTTGTCACGATTGTTGTTCGTGAATTACGATATTGACGTCTCCTCCGTACGGAGCTGAATACGTGAAATAAGATAACGGACAAGCAAAAATTCTCTTTTCGCATATTTTATAAAATCAGTTTTACAACCGGATTAAATCCTCGAACGGAACCTCGGGGAAACCCGTGAACGCATCGGTAATTGTTAAAAATAAAATCTTTGCTGTATATGGTAAGACGAATTATCGGGGAAAAAGTGCACAAGTAACAAAGAGAATGTCGGTAATTTGGAATATAGGAAGTAGGTGGAAAAAGTAGAGATATCTTTGAACGGGATTTGCTGGTAATTCGGGTACAGCTCCTTATCACCTACATTTCGGTGTCTGGCTGTGTACGATGATGAATCGTGCACACAGTAAAAACGAACAATAAAATCTGGCCAGACGCAGAAAGATAACCTCGCCGAATAGTCCGCCTTATGCAAACACTTTAATCGCTGTAGAATGACGTTTTCACACCAGAGACAAGTGGTCATACTTTCGTATATTTTAATTCTTTATCAACGACAGACGCGCTTTTCTACATTACAATTATATATTCGGCACAACGTAGGAAAGTGGTCTTTTCCCCCCCTTTTGCAATTTTTCCACAAATTACCTCCTTCGGGAACCACAGATCGCAGAAAAGAAGCAAGCTTATCTCCATAATTTCGAATTCCTTCAATTTCTTAAGCACACTTCAGATTCACTATTGAGAAATCACGTATATAATTTAGAATCGATCGAAACTTTCCACGTAACAATCGTAATCAGTTTACCAGGAGAAATCACTATTTTACCGAGAAACATCCATAGGTCGTTCTATATTCCCTACCTGTTGGATCGTTTGCTAACCGCACGGACCATATTTAGACGAGCCCCTGAACTTTAACAGCGCGTTATCGACCAGTTCACCTGCTCTACAAGGGAAGCGACGAACGAACCAATTTGGATCATCCTCGATTCTCCGGGATTCTCCACCCTTGAAATTCGTCTTCGATTAAACGACGTGATGAAAATTCACGAAAGAACGTTCTCGTTCGGTACTTACCCGCACTCGTCCGTAAAAGTCTGATAATTCTGGTTCCTGGGCATGTTGACGAAGGACTGAACACGTTTGCGGGTTGTTGCGGCCGATTTAACGATTCTCGGTGGTTTATCGGGGCTGCTGTCACGAGTTTGCTCATATCAAGCTGCAGTCATGTGCCTCCTACGTCTTGTTTTATTTAATTTCGCTTATTTTCACTACAATCCTTCGTCGCAATGGTGACGGCAACCGCGGAAAATCGAACGATCCGAATACGCGCTTGACGATTTATCTCAAATTCTTCGACGATGGTTCGAGGTATCGTCGTTCAAATTTCAGGTACACGAACGAACATTCGTGGCAATCTTAAAGAATACACTCGATCTTTCTATTTCAAACGAAATTTCCTCACTTTCACCTGTACGTTGTTTCACTCGTTAAACGCTTCTTACAGTTACTATCTGTTTATCGATGCACTCTTATCGACGATACAGATACTAAACAACGCGTGATTCAACCGGTAGATTATACGAGTATATAGGACAGAAATTCAGAATTTTTATTCAAAGAAATTCCAATCCACTTCCTTAATTTTCTATCGCAGCGGACGTTAGCGTAACAAGAAAGAAGAAAGAGATGTACCGTCTGGAACGTTTCGAACTGGCGAGCAAACTGAATGTGGAAAGATCCGGAATTTAATTGAACCATGGAACCACGTTATTTACCCTGTTCAACTTATTTTTCGCTCGATTCACCGCTTATCGACATTACGGCGGACAGTGAATTGCCAATAGGAATCCTCAACTACGGGATAGTGAATTTTCTTATCTGGTTCTGTTTGGTTGCGACACCTCCAGAGCAACCAGTGTGAAAAAAAAAAGAAGAAATAATATGAGATCACGAGGAATTAATATTCAAACACCACGCGCACGGATTGTCGCGTGTTGCACAATCCTGTTGCACGCTGCAACGATGCACAACACCTATGTCCTTCTAGGTTACTCGCATAATTGACAAAGAAACAAATCGTCGTGTCTATCTTTCATTTTTTTTTTTTTTTTTTTTTTTTCAAGCGAAACAGTCTCGCTCCACTTAAAGAAATACGCATTCTCGACCGCCACGGAAAAATCTGTCTCGCGTACAAGTCCAACACCATGGGATCGATGGTAATTAATTAAATGAACAGCTCGTTACGGTTGTCGCGTGCTACGATTAATCAGCTCAGCTATGACACGTAACTCAACAGATCTACAAGCCTATTTTAACCCTTTGCACTCTCGGCATTTTTCGATGCAGTGAAATCTTTGAAAAGGAAAAATTTCGGTTTGAAAACATTTATTTACTTTTATCTCTCTCTTTTATCTACTTTTGCTTCGTTTTGATATAAATAAAACTTGAATGGAGTTACGGTGCGTATTATGAATAGCACCAGCAGAGTGCAAAGTGTTAAACGTTCCTATTTTATTCTCTTTCTTCCTAAGAACGAAAAAAAGGAAAAGAAAGAAGATACAAATAGAAAATATTCGCGGTGTTATTTGCCCTGGCTCGCCTGTCAAAAGCAATTATCATAATTAATGGGATAAAAAACGAGGAAGTCTCGCTAATGTACCGTAAGAAACCAGTACTATACGTACTCCGTTGATCTGCAAGTTAAATGGTAATTACAGATCGTTCAACTCTGTCTGTGAGTAAAATGCTCAAAATAAGTCTCCTTTCACTCTCCGCAATTCGAAGGTTGCAACTTTGCCCGTGTGAAAATCTTATCGATCTCGTTGATTATGTCTCCAGGTGTCCGTTTTAAGCAGGAACACGTATACGTAGGTGAAACTGGTGAAAGAATAGCCGAGAAATTGGTGGAAATCGTTGGGAATCGAGGATGATCGGAAGGTAGGATAAAAGTATCGCGGTTAGGCACGTTAACGGGGACACTGGACGAGCAGGTTTTCCCAAGAAACGGAAAACCACTCGAACGGTATACAAATGATCGCGCGATTTACGGTTCTCCGCTTCTCTCTCTCGTATATGTATGTATATCGTTGAAGACCAAGTTGGTCCACGATCGATCGACCTTTTGAACGCGCGCGGATCGCGGACTTTGATTTTACTGGCAGATACTAGGACTTGGAACTTTATTATTAACTCGTTTTTAACGCGGTTGCGTTTCACCTGTTATATTTGAAACAACGACGGCGAGGCAAACAGGAAGCGTTCTGAAATTTTATTACACATGGTAAAACACAAACTTTGGAATGTTGCCGCCGCCGAAGCTTATGCAAGTTTCGAACTCACGTTTCGTTCGATAGAAGGTTCTTCTTAAAAGACACCTCTACATAGATATTGGGTTGTCCGGAAAGTTCGTAGCGCAATTTAAACCATCGTATCTCTGTTTCTAATTGACATAGTAAGAAAAGTTACCGCTCAAATTATTCGTAAGATGAACAGGGATGGATAGAAGTCGAACTATGTTCTCTGCAGTGGAGCTCTGCCGCAGAAAATATAGTTCGCTTTAGGAGTAACTTTAGGGGTACATCGGACAATTAGAAACAATTCCAGAAGACCCGATATAATTCACAAGGAAGCAAGTGAATCCGATCGATTGATCTATCGTGATCCGGAGTTGAGAAGTCACGTATGGTACGCATGCTGAGGAATCGGATCTTGTCTAATCGAACAATCAAATCAGCAGGATAATGGCACGTCGCCGTGCTGGCTCGCAGACCTTATCCAACAATTTATGCGAACCGATCGGGTTTAACATATATCGCGAGAATATTTCAGGGACCCGAGTCACGCGTCGAGACTGTGGAAAATTACGGAAAAGGTGTTATTTGCACAGCAATGCCCGATCTCGGTTATATCGATCCTAATCGAACGAATGGTATATATGTACATACGTAGTGTGCAGAAGTGCCGAACGCGACTCACGAGATCTGATAACGCTCTACGAGATTCTCTCGTGACTTGACTAATGAGTCACGTGCGCCTCGAGAACGCTTTTGAAAAGAAAAAAGAAGAGATACCACCGATTGATCGGGACAAATTCTATTATTTGCTCGGGGCAGAGGTGCGAGAGGAGGTAGGTTTGTTAGAGATCCGTCGTGAAATATTGACAGGAGGGATTCACGTTGGCTCGCTGAGAATAGAAGACAACGTTTATAAATACAAACGAGGGAATCCAATTGAATCGGGCATCGATTTCAACCAACGATCTAGTACAAATTCTATCCAAAGTACGCAACTTTATCGTAGAAACTATACCTA